TTTTGCATAGTTAACATTATAAGAGTAATTTGTTTTCACTATTTTAATGTCACGCCATTTTATTGATCGTGTTGAGCAAATATATAAAATCTGTAGTCCGAAGAAAAATAGAATCGAAATTACAATTAATATATGAAAATTTAAGTGATATACCACACGTGTAAATATCATTGCAAGATATTTTGACTCTATGCCCGTGTCATATTTACACGAGAAATTTATGAGTCCATAAATTTATTTATACGCGTGTGTGTATAAAAAAAGTTTGCATGAAAAATGTCGTTAACTGGAATAACTGCGATAACGTCAAACAAGACAGAAAAAATTTTTTATAACAATTTTTGCAAAAGCAAGGTTTACAGTACGTTTTATACGCAGTTTTCAAATCTGTTATTAGTTTCCATAAGTCAAAATTTTCCTTCAAATTCTATCGCACAACTATCTATCAGTTTCTGCTTAATATAATAACTTAGAAATAGAAGATCAAACAAAAAAGATGCTGCGTTTAATAAAAAATGTATCAAATCAAGAATACTATATCTCGTTGAACGGAGATGTGTACGCAGAAAACTGGGTATTTCATGAAACTGCTTCTCAACTGCACGTTTTATATGATGACATCCGTCAAAGGTGGGTGTCGTTAAAAGCGTTTGCACCCATTGCATTTTGGGTGCAACCATCGTGGCTTTTAGGCAGTAGTACGTCGACAATCCGACAGTCCTTTGTCTCGTGCACAAACTCGTTGCACCTTTGGAGCCGTAGTAGAATAGAATGCTAAATTGTTTCCCACTCTACGAGTATGCATTGTGCTGAATCGCATAAAGTTTACGAGATGTATAAATATTCAGCAAGAATGATATTGATTGAGAAAGTTAAGTCTTTAATACTAGCAGAACAATTTAACGTTCATTCCGTCTTTGATACTTTTTGAAATGCTCGAACTTTGAAACAAAAATTTTTCTCATATAGAGAAAAAAAGAAATCTCTAACTTTAATTCTACAAGGATACTTTTCTGTAACGTGCAAAACGAGAAAGAGAGTACGATGTAACGTAATTTAAAAATCTTGCGAACAGGTACTTGTCGAGATTGCAGTTACCGCGAAGAAATGCGTGTTTTCATTTAAGAAAATGAAAACAATTTCTTGGCGGAAAAATTCTTGCAGAAAAATCTGCTCCAGACGCCATTCTTTTGCCTCGGAACATACGCCGGAAATGCTTCTCATCCGTTGCCATCTTTGAAGACGAATGGCGTTTATAGATTAAAACGAGACACCTCGTATGCGTAATGCATTATGGAAAAAAGACAGGAAAATAAAGAAGATACACACGGAAAAGAGGAAAACATTTAGTAATAATAATCAGTTCACGCAAAACGATAATTAATTGAATAATTTATTGTAAAATATTTCTATTGTAAAACAACACAAGAATTTTTTTTTCCTATCGCGATGAAAATATTTTACAATAAATTATTCAATTAATATATCATTTGAGACTACTACATTCTGGACTCTTCGATCAATGTAACAACAAAATGGATTATAAATAATAAAATAAGTATAAATGGATTAAAAATAATAAAATAAATATAAATATTCAAATGTTTTAACTTTTAATGTTTTAATTTTCAATTCTTTCTGTTGCTTCTCATAACATTTTCGATTAAATTATTAAAATATTTATTTATTATAAAAATAAAAATTTATCATGCTTGTAACACAAACTAAATAGGCACAAATTTACAAACCGATCTGATAAATATAATGTGAACTGACCGCATTTTTAAAGGCCATAAATTTATGGAAGTGTACCGGATTGTGAAATGAAAAAGAACAGCTGCATCAGACGTGTAGAAATGGTGAATTCAGCGAGTTTATTCTGGAGCGGAGCAATCATCGAACTAAGAATCATGGAGTTCAGGTACGATGGGTCCCCGAGGCATGCCAAGCAAAAATCAAGAAAAATAAAAATACAATATCTTGTTAATTGAGTCTATACTCACTTTGATTAGCTTATGTCATAGAAGAGTCATAGATTATGTCATAGAAGATGGAAGAATAAATATTACCATGCTACATAAAATTTATGAGTTCGAGCGCCGAAAGAACGAAAAATAAAGAAAGAAAAATGTTATCATTCTAGATTCATGAAATGCCTAAAATATAAAATCACTCACTTACGTGAGGAGCGTTCATCAAATAATCACTCATGCAATTAGTTCAATTAATCGTTTAAATTTAAATTATTAGAATCATCACACAGGTGACTACGAATACGAAGTTTCATCTTTTTTTAACGGAATATATTATGTCAGTGACTATAGAAATTAATAATATATTTATCACATATTACAAATAGATTTACTCATAGTAAGATGTTAATGATTTTCTGATTGATTGAAAATAGCTTTTTTAGCAAATTATATTATAAAATGTAATGTTTCGGGCTAATGCTCGTTGTACCATTAAGAAATGGTGCTTGTAACAACAGTGAGAAAAAATTAAAAAAAGACTTTTAGGAAAATAGCTCACTTTTGGGCAGCAAGCGATAACAACGGTAGGAAAATTGAGAAGACGAATATTATTCTGTTGAAGAGTAAAGGAAGAATTCGTCTTAGGCCGTTACAAGTGACTCACAATAACGATTTCGTGGCAATAAAAGATCGGGAAGGGGGAAAAAGAAGTATACTTCGTCTTGTAAATATACTTAGACGCCAAGCTTATAGTTTCCTAACACGCGAAGTGAGATGGATCGATCCACTGGATTAATGAAAGATTCTTTATAGCAAAGGGGGAAGAGAACAGTTTCGATATATTTACAAGCAGCTTCACATAAGAATAAGAGAAGAGTAATTTGAAGCCTTATTAAAATCCTAGGATACTTTGTATCATATAAAATGCAATTATAACCAATCGTTTTATTAATATATATATATATATATATATATATATATATATATATATCAATCAATCCAAGATTTATTATCAAGTTATTTAACATCTAGAATCAAAAGTTTATCACGGACAACAGTCCCAATGGTTTCTATTAAAACTTCTTTCAATAAAATTCATTCGCAATCCTATCTTAAGAACATCAAAAAGTTTGCGTTTCATTCTCGCCCCGATCGCCGGGCGGCGCATTTACTTGATAGTTCCCAGCAGCAATAACTGGTTCCTCAAGTTTCCTTGGTGGTACTTAAGCACGTGACGATCGTCTCCGAAGAATCATACGTTATTACATAGGCCGTCGGGTGTGGGAAGCACTTAAACTTAATCGATTATCGATGTTGCTCCTCTAATCCCGCCTCAGACCCACGGACGTCTAAAACCGTCGCGTCTCGGTCGGGTAAGATTATACACGGCGAGATAATCGGTAGCCGCGCATGGGATGCCATTAATTAGAGCACGCGGCGCGGCGCACTTGCTCAGAATACCTTAATAGTTTACTACATTACGTAGTTATGTGCCAGGGAAAACCTACCATTCTCGCTCGTGCTCTATTACTTCACTTGGTGTTACCATTATTTCACCACTTGTCCCCGGCCAGGTGACATTTCTCGGATCGAGGTGTCTCCATTACTTGAAAAATTATCACGATCACGAAACAACAATTCTGGATTGAGTAACTTTTTGAAAAGTAACTATTGTCAAATTAACGGGAAAATAAATTTCTCGTGTTTAACTAATTGAGCTATTACATTTATGAAGCCTAAAACTATCTCTGTAGTACTGAAATAGCTGTAATATTTTATATTCGTTACGATAATATTATGATCGTTTATAAATATCCCTTTTGCTTTTTGAAATCCTTGTGAAAATATGTAATTTTATGATAAAATGTATTCAATAGTTTATTTAGCTCTACTTGGTGTCAATCAAATTTATACTAATTCATTAAGTTTTTTGATGTTACTTTTGTTATTTTTGATACATTTACATTTAATCATTACTTAAATTGTATATATTCACATAGACTACATCGTATATTTGTATCAATTTTTATATTTAACTTGTTTGTTCTTATTTTTATTATTAAAGAAAGAAAATTAGATTTGACGATGTACTATCTATTTATTCTATCTATCCCTCAAACAACGAAAAGTACTTAATTATTTAGTTTTTAATTCAACGGAAAGCCTTTCTTCCGCAAAGTAATTAATTTTAAGCTCTCATTTACGTTGAGTTTAAATAACTTAATGCCTGAACACGCGCGATATTAATCAGCTTCGTTTTTTTCACGAATTTCATTAACCATCTTTCAGGACGATAAGAAAAGAATGTCATTTGAATTATGTAACAAAGAATGTGATTTCAATTATGTGTGTTATGAGATATGTAACACATGATCATTATCACTTACGAATTTTAAAGATAATTATAATTGTCCCTCTGAAACCGGATTCAAATGAATAAGTAGAAAGATAAATGAATAATTTACTCTTACTTTATAAATATGAACAATGTCACGAGTAGTCAAGTGACGATTGACTCAAGTTGTTCTTTCATATTTGATCGCGTTCACTTAATCTAGGTCTGGCTTCACATATTTTATTCTACTGTGAACTTAGATTTCCATAAACTTAACATCATTTTATTTTCAAAACCGTACAAATACACAGATAATACAGATTCGTATAGAAATAATTTTTTCAAGGATAGTCAGAATACTTCAGAATACTATTTCAGAATCATGTAAAACTATCATGTAAAACATTAAATAATCTACCAATGCAATTGTAACCGTACTACATTCTTCATATAAAAATCCTACCTCCAAACAATATCGCATCGTTCCACCGACCTGTTCAAACTCAAGTTTCGTATTCAGCTATTTTCCTACAAACCAATTCGCCTTCCAAAGGTATCTTTCTATCTTTAAGACAAGCAACCCTAATCGCCGCACTATCACGCGCACTTCCTCACGTTGTTCACAATATATATCTTTTCGGCGCAAGATTCGGAATGAGATTGCTAATAATTTCGCAAAAGCAATCCTTGAAAGTAATTCTCGGAATACGTCGTTCGACGCGTCTCGTCGCACTTATTCAGCGGATAACCGCGACGACTGATTTTACTCGAACTCACTCGCACGGGGCTGCCCATACAATCCTGACTGGACTGCGCCAGATGATGCCGCAGCCGACGCCGACGGGACGTCTCGTCGTTAACGAGAAGCACCGCCATTGTTTGCGGCCTAGTTCTGCCCGTCCGACCGATGGCTTTCTATGCCAAAGGTCCTGTCTGTCGATACTGTCACGCGGCACGTGGACGCAATTTAAGTATTACCTCATTACGTCACTCTGTCCCCGACGCCTCGTTGCGGAAACTTGGGGACGGCTGGAGCGCGGCTAATGGACAGTTTCTCGCGAGGACGTGCTCGGGGAGCCATTATGTATGCATATTATGCGAGGGTTGTAAGCAACCTCGAGATACGACTTGGGAATACCGCTGGTGTACGAGAAAAATTTAAGATAAGCAACACCGATACATGCATTCACCGTGTGTTCATTATGTCGGCCTCTGGAAACTCGATTATAAAAATAAAATGTTGAGAATAGGTGATGATTTATTAAAGCTAGCAGATTTTAGCTTTCCAAGTTTGCGGGGAATAGAAATTTCATTAAAAGTTTCTACCGCGAGAAATATTTTTGTAATTTTGCCGCTGAAAATTGGCTTCGCGCTCGAAAACTTTGCGTTTGCGTCCTACTAGCTGGCCTACGAATCTATGTTTCATAAAAGTCAATTGTATAGCTTTTTCTCGAAACCATCGAGAATTGCATAAAAGCTACGGTTGGCCTTTATTTTCCCTTCGCAGCAAAAACGCAGTGGGCAAAGAAAGCGGCAGATTCAGATTATTCGCGCGTTATGAAACGTTTTTCGTGAATAACTGAGAAATATGATGTAATGCCTTTATCCACTCAACTCTCTGCTCATTCTTCACCTTCCTCCACAAAATTACCTCGCGTTACAAGCAGCATTTGTACAAAGCAAAATCACGGTTCGCACGCATGCATTAGCTTGCGCTCTTATTCTCGACACAAAATTGAGTTTCACAGTAGTAATTCTTCAACTGTCAGCAAATAGTAATACTTCAGAACATACGGAAAACGGAACCAAAATATTTTCGCACTAATGGTATTTTTAAGAAACGTTATTTATCGCTTCACTTTTTTGTTACCAAACTTTTTTTGTTATTTTTCGTTTTTCACTTTTTGACTTTTCGGACCTTTACACATTCGCTACAGTAAACTACAGTAATTACAGTAATCATCGCAAACTAATTTAAATAAAAATATATGTGAGTGCTACATCCCAAATTATTAATATTAACATCGTAGACGTTGATAGACATGAAGTAGCGAAAAAGACCAGAAACTTTCTTGATGGAGGTAACTGTTGAAGTAGCTGTCACCTGTATATAACAGGCGACTCTGTATACACTGAAGCCACCGACTTACCGGGGCAAGAAGAAAATGAAGTTTCAACCGACGGAAACATTAATTTCAGCGGAAAGCCGAAGTGAATGGCGTAACATCTTAATTCACTCACTTTCCTCGTTCATCTTCCATTTTCCCTTGTGTTTGGTTTGGCCCGGGAGCCTTACGTATGCATTATGCCTACAATGCGCTTGCTCTTGGCTAAGAAGCGAGGTTCGCCGCGACGATTTCACAGCCGGGCGAAGGTGAAGTGTTCTCGCGATCACCGCGACTCGAGAAGTGACTCGACCATAGTTGCCTCACACAGCCACGATTTTCTGGCCTTTATTTGGTCTCAAAACACTTCGAACCGCGCTCGCTCTTCTGACATCAGCATCGCACTCGTTCGTTTCTCAACTATTCAATCTACACGTCCTTTTCTCTCTCTTTCCCTCTCTTTTTCTTTGCCTTTCTTCCTCCAAAATGACAGGGATCGCAAAATGATTTACGTGCCGCTCGTACGTCTTCCTTTGTGTTTCAAATTTATGTATTCCGACGGAGAAAAGATTTTAGACACACCGCGGCTGACGACATTCGCGAAGCAAAGTTTCTACGAAGTTTCTACGGAGTTTCTGTACACATATATTTCTTTATATACTTATATTCAATTTTTTATTGTTTTATAATTTTATAACTCAAAGGTGCAACACAATTTACAATTACAGAACGAATAATTGAACAGTAATAATAGAATGAAAATACCTTTTAATGAAATTAACTTTTAAAGATGAAAAGTTATTTGTTCGTATCAATCAAAAATATACATATACATTTATATTGTTAATAATAAAGATCTATACATATTTATTTATTTTCACATTTTCGTCTGACCAATTTACGCCAGAATCATTTATGCTTTCAATAAGCTTTTAAGCCCTAATTTAACGATTGCTGCAATACGCGCGATTGTAACGTACGTTTGTACATTTTATGTTTTCATTGCGCAGTCGAATGCATTTCTATACATAATGATCAGTAATGAACTCACGTACGATTGTTGTAACGACATGCTATGATCATGTGTGAATGTTTATCACATCTACAGTTTGTATGAAAACGCGTTGGTGGCAAGCGCAAATAAGTGTGGCAGAGAAGAATTGATCATAATACCAATTCGCAGCTATATGCCATTGTAATTTAACAAAATTACTCAGTAAATGCGTATTATGGGTCACCACATATTAACGGTCAATACACGCATCCACAATGCATTCGTTACGCGATAGTGAATATTGATGGGCCCCTATTAGCATCGTCAGCGATGTACTTATAATAATACATATGATCGTGCATATCGATTAATTACGCGTGCAAATTGTATCTCGTAATTTTAGCATGTCTGGTTTACTGCAATATCTTGAAGAAAGCCGATGTAAATAACTTCGTCGTGCAAAATATTTAATGTTCAGAGAATAAAATAAAATTCCATTTCTAAATTCCATTTCTTACATTAAATTACTTAAAAGGAGCATCTTACAGTTATAAATAATTTTTTTAAGATACAATTATTTTGTTGCAAGTATTGAAATAAATATATGTATATTTATTTAGATAAGATTTATGAATAGAACAAAATATTATTATTTATAGTGTTAACAAATAGTGAATCAAACTTTCTTTTCCTAGTAAGTAAAAGATCTTCCTTTTGTGCTTTAACCGTCTGATACAATTTTGGCATTCTAATTAATTTTCGAATAGTTTCTATTTTGATATTATAACAAGTGCCTTGAAAAATTTTTCAAAGGTTTTTTTAGAAATAGAATATTTTTTACAAACTGCTCTGTCCAGCTCTTTTCACAATTGTTTAATCGGATTTATGTATAATATTTTCTTTTAATTTTAAATTTGACAAATAGTCTATGTTTCCATAAATATTGATATTTTTAATAAAATAATCATCAATTTAATAAAAACATATTAGTTTATAGAATGCTTCAAATTTTTGAGCGGTAGCGTACATATAATTAATCAAATAAATTTATAACGCATATGATAGATAGAGATTAGTGTGTCTAAAAGCAAGATGTCAACTAACCAAAACCCAATACAAAATATAAAATTGGTCAATATGAAATCATATAACAATAGTGAATATCGATCGGAATTGTAACGGAGATTCACGTAACGAATTCGACGAGGAGTATCTACTTCCGTACTCTTTTTTATTTGGACGCCCAAGTCTAAACCAATTTTTATGCAAATAAACGAACTTCCATGCTGCGAGTACCTGAAACTCGTCAGAGATTTTTGTTCATCGATTTACACCCGTTTATATGCAGTCACATTTCCTGGTACGTGTACACACACACACACACACACACACACACACACACACACACACACACACACACACACACACACACACACACACACACACACACACACACATAATATAAATAAATAAAACTGCATCCGTGACTATCGCGTCCGCGTATTTTAAAACAATTGGTGCGGCACAATACACGCTTATGCATACGAGCACATGCATTCTCTCGCTTAAATGTGTGCAACCATCGGAGAAGTTTGTCAAACAAATTATTTATACTGGCATCTACCGGTATCGCCGAAATGCATTTCGCACGGTATTGCTAACAATGTAAATCGAAAATTAAACATTTTGTTTAAATTAAAAATCAGACGCGTATTTCGAGAGAAATCAGTCTTTCGTTTTTGTTACGCGCCGCATTTCCGGACTGATGGTCATTTTGCGCTTGGCAAAATGTCGAAGAAAAATGGCACATGCGTTGCACGTACGCTTGCGTTTGTAACAAAATGCACGATGCTGTCGATACTATTTATTTCTACGGCACAACATGACAGATAGTTGTTTGTGCGAAGAGTATATTTTACTTGAATATAGCACAATGTAAAATGCATTTATAGCGCGTGTGTTTTAAAAGTAAGCCGTCTGATTAAAATTAATAGACAATTCATTGCATTATATCCTTTGTTCCTTTCGCATACTTCGGAGGTATTTATTACTAGTAGTAGACATTGATTCACACGTTTTAAATAAAAAGTGGTACATTGTAACAAAAGATTAAATTTCAAATTGTAAAGATAATTGATTCTAATGATTAACATGTTACACAGATCAAAATTTGATTATCATAACATTGTAAATTATTCCTTTAATAACATAATTGATGAACAAGTGTTGGTGAACAATTGTTCAAGTAAAATATTCTAGCCGCATCCTTTGTAATATCAATCTGTCGAAAAAGGTTATTCTTCTTCACGTGCTGCGTACTGAACACCATGTATACTTCTTTGGACAAAGATAGCGTGGGCTGACAGGAATCGTAGTGGGTGGAAAATCCGAACCCTTCCTGCGAAACAGTACAATTGGTCCTCAAACGCGCGAAACAAACGATGCCTCATAAGCGTTATTTAGCGTCGAGATGCTGACACGAGATATAATAATCGTTTTACGATAAAAGCGATCGCCGCAGTAATAACCGATTTATTTTAGATTGTCGAGCGCAAGAGCAATGATATATATTATGATATATATTATGGGTCCAGTAAGCAGAATAGGCTACCCTCGTCGTTATCGGGACAAACAGGTCGCTACCTGAGAAAAAAAATTTAGTCACGCAAATTTAGGCACGCAACGCGTATAAACCATGATACCATCGTGTTTACTGCTAATGAGCTAATTTGTC